TCCAACCCTAATTTTTTATGATTCTATAATTGCCATATTTGGGGTCAGGAAGGAATTTTACCCCATAGTCAAATTGGTATAGACCATGAAAGTTGTTGCCTTCCTCTGTAGCAGGGGACGTGGCCCTCTACCTGGGATCTCTGCAGTGTATATTAACCACCTTTTACAGAAGCAGGACGCTGGCTGCCATGGTCCCCCTGCTTTATCTGTGGCAGGTTAGGTTGTCATGTCTTGTGTTGTGTGAGGGTTGACTATAGTTTTACTATATGGATTTATATAGGATGGTTTGGATAAGCGTGATCCTGTCTCATGCAGGGACTGGACTAGTTCTCAACCTTTTTTGTACCAGGACCCATTTGTTAACATTGATGGCTAGTCCCGACCCAGTAAATGGTCTAAATAGAAAACAGGCCCCTGGACCTGCCAGTGTCCCTCACTCCTGACCCACTGCCCCCACCCCCAGGTCGCAACCCCACAGTGTGTGGGGCAGTGAGGGGCTATGGGGGGCCCCCAAGCAGCCCCGTGCAGGCTGGAACTCTGCTGTCCTGCAAGGGAAAACCCAGTTTCCAACATTTCTCTCCTTTAAAGGAGAACCAATTTTTAAAGTTTGTTGATCCATTTTTTAAGTTTGTTCATGACCCTTTCATATATTTTTGTGACCCACTTTAGGGTCACAACCCACAGGTTGAGAAATGCAGGACTAGATGACCTCTGGAGGTCCCGTCCAGTCCTACTTCTCTGGGATTCTATGAAGGCCCTAGCAGCAAAGAAAATTATTCCAGGAAAAATGTCAAAAATCTCTCTGATTTGCTGTGTTCAAAATATACCATTTTTTATGACATTTTCCAAAATTGTCAATGGCAACCTTTTCTTTATTAAAAAATCTTACTAAACTAGGAAAAAAATCTGTAACAAGGCATGTTTTTCTGTACAAAAAAATATAATGTTTTATAAGAATGTTGTTATATCACATTACAGAAAAATATTTCAAAAATGTAGAGGTGTTCACAAAATTAATAATTATTCATGAAAAAGTTTATTTTTAATAATTTCATCTATCAGTGAAAATATTTCGTGAGGAAAAACTTCAACTAGATCTATTCTTAGCAAATGACGTCTCATTAAAAGCTGGATTTGGATTCTTTGAAAAGAACTAAAATGATAGGTTTTAGGAGGGCATTCTATACGTTCCAACATTATAACATAGTTTTGTAGATGACATAAGAGGATGTTTTGGTACAAAAGTAAAACATTAACCCTATAGATTTGTACCTGTCTGAATAGGAATGGACTGAATACAAGTGTAAAATAATATGGCATCATTCCTTCTAGTCCTAGCCACCACAAACTGGTCTCCTTAGGAATAAGACAAACAAGGCCAAGTCAAAGTAAGATGAGATGTGACAGGTTTTCTGTATTGCATTGACTTTAACCAGTGGAATTACTGCAGATTTATTTAACTGAAATCAAAATCTGGTCTTTCATATTTTGCTCCCATGCTGTATGTCTATAAATGATTATCCAAGCGTGAGGCAGTATAAAATCAGGATAGAGAACTTCAATGAGGTGAGCCCTAATGGGCCCCACTGTATGAGCCAGTAATTTTAGGTCAGTGGGACTCTTTGTGGGAGTTCGACTTAGTGTAAGATTTGAAGAATGAGGCTTTAGGTATTTAAAAACAGAGGTATTAATCATTTTGCAGTGTACAGTAGGTGAATCATCTTCAATTGCAAAATCATCTGTGTTATAAAGACACCTGCCAGCTCCATTTGAAAACTACAGGATGTTGTATTTTTAACACTACCATCCTTACTAGGATCATGATTGATTTACAGCATCCTTTCTCTGTGTTTTCCCTACTTTTTACTTTGTCACTGGCAACGCCTCTATTCCACAGGACAAAAGATCACATTGAAATGGCTGATAAGGTCGAAAAAAACAACTTGATATATGACAAGGTCTGTATAAATTATTATTATTATTAATTATTATTATTATTTCTCTGGGACTAAAATGTTTGCTTTAGGCTAAATGCCTACCTAAACCACTTCTTTTTTTTTTAAAGTGTACAAAAAAAATTTGGTTTGGGTGTTTCTTGAAACACACTACTTTTGGCATCAAAAATAAGACTTTAATAGAGAAAAGAAGCATGTTGGGATTAGCTAATTAACAATACTTCCTGTTAACAGCAAAACCATCTAGTGCTAGTAGCTTGTCAGATTTCATAGTAGCCAAATCATTAATAGAACCACTGGTTCTGGATTCAATGCTTTATCTTCTGGAACCTTTAAATAAACACAGGTTAATCAGGGTGAATACAAATTGATGATTTTTTACAATTATTTTTAAAAATGGATTTTTTTTATTTAAATCAGATTTTAAATCAGGTCCAGGCCCAAGTTCTGATACCCATCTATTCTAAATGCTAGTATTCAAAATCTCTGAGTCTTGGTTTAGTCCCTCCTCCAGACTGAGATATACTGGACGTATCTACATGTCACCCTATGGTGATGTAGTGATGCAGCATGTCGCCGTACAGTCCCTACAGCGTGCTATAGCAACATAACAATCACAAAGGTCTACACGTGATTGTTAGCTATGTCACTGTAGCAGCACACTTCCCCTCCTATAGCGCGCTGCTACAGCAACGTAGTGGGGAAATTTAAACGTGCAACACCTGTAAGGCACAGTAACGACATCGTTGTACGCTAGCGTGTAGACATGCCCACTGATGCTGTCAGGAATATACTGTTTGAAATACACATATGCATAAATAAAGTGACATCCTAGTCCCATTTAAACCAATGAATTTTTTTCCATAAAGGAGGTAAGATTTCTAATAACTTCACACTTTCTTTACTGCCACATTTTAAACCATGTCTTACTAAAAATATGATACTACTTAGTGTTTATTGGATGCCAAAAAAAAAACAAACAACTTTTCCAAGATGATATAAAGATGAACTTAAGATGCATCAGGCATATCAAAAAATATGACAGTATAAATATAACACAGTTTTTTAATCAATCAATAATTTATAAAGTACAACCTTACCCTTGCTGGCAATGATGTTCCCGTATGATGTTTAAATAGACACCCTAAAGGTTTTGTTTTTCTTTTTCCTCTTCAGTCACTCCATCCATTCTCACTTTCTCCCTCCATTTCTTGCAATGATCTAGGTATACCTTCAAAACTTCTATCCGCTGGATAAAACATGCACAAACCACAGCAGGAGGAGAGGAAGTTACCTGATAGAGAGGCTGAAACAGATACAAGCATTTTTTAGCTTGAACGTAACAGGTCATTTAGATGCTCCGAATTTAGACATAATGAAAACTCCAAGGTGTGGAGTACCTGATGTCAAACAATATAGAGTTATGAACCAGCAGGTTCACTGGCTAAAGAAAGCATTAACATACAGGTAAAGCATTTTGTCATTTTATTATTCTGTGGTTTAAAGCTCTAGTTTCAAAATCATTTGAGCTGGCATTTTGTTCCCTTCCTGGTTGTCTAAGGAGCTATTTTTTGGTCAGCTATGCAGTAATTTTGGCACACCCAAAGAAATTATTTTCCTGAATGCAAATGTGTAACTACATACATGCACAGACAGGTACAGTAGCACATGGGGTACAAACATGCATCCTTTATGGACAAGTAGCAGCCTTGAGGAGAGAGTGACTTCTATATTTCCTTCTTCCCCTCCCCGACCTAGAGTACTCATCTGGGAAACCGCAGACCTGTATTTTGACTCCCCTCACCAAGAAAGGACTTAAACCTATGCCTCTCTGTTTTTCTATTGTAGGACTCTAACCATCACACCACAAGCCAGCCATTATTTAGACTCTTCTCTGGCACTCCTTTTGGAGCTGGACCACTGCAAGAGAGATATAGGCCCAGAGGATGAAAGCAAGTGTGTGTGGCTTAATGAGTTGCCTGCTTGTCTGGAATAGCTGGGGGTCTAGGTTTTAGCTGGGATCTGTGCTCCCAATGATGTAGAAGCTTCTGGCCTCCATCCATTTTTCCTTCTGGCCTCCATCCATTTTTCCAATGACTATATAAAAAGTCTCTGCTTCAAAAGGAGCACCAAAAAGAGCCCGGGTAATGGCTGTACTGGGTTGCAGTGGTTAGTAGTATGCCATGCTGGGAAGTCAAAAAAACTCTTCTTAAAACCCACTGTGGATGAGAGAGGCCTAGAACCTACATCCTCTGCTTCTCAAGACAGTAACCTATTGACAAATGTCCCTGTTCCTCTCCCTTTTGATTCTCATATATGTCTAGTTTGTGTACATATGCAGTCACCTATGCCTATGCCTCCAAAAACCGAATTGTTTTTGGTGTGTGTAAGTACCAAAAAGTACCATATAGATGACCAAAAATGACTATTTAGAAGACCAGGAAAGAATTCATCACCCTTGCATTCTCAGACTTCTTAATGTACAAGGCTTCACCCAAAGCATTCTTATATTTATATGATCAAGTCATATAGACTGAACAAGGACTAGAGGATGAGTTTGTGGAAAGAACAGATCAAATTAGTTTACTATATGAGTCAAAAAGATACTGCTTTGGAACAATTATTTGGGCATAAAAGGACCTCTGTATTGGATCAGTCTATATGTAAGATATGCACATCCTGGATGGTTCATAGTTCTGTGGCTGTGCCTTGCATAATAATACATATCAGAAAAAAGGATAGAGGACATGCAGAACAGGGGAGGGACATCATGAAAGAAATTTGGTGTCTGGAATAATACCAAACTTATAAATAATAATCCACTTCAACATCACCCAGCAAGTTCTGCAGTACAGTTTTGGATGTGCTATATAGCTGGGCTACAAGAGTGTTCCAGCATTTCCCTTGTGCATCTATCTGGCCTCTCTACTTGAAGTTACATGATAATTTGCCTCGGTGTTACTATACATATGAAATATGTTGAGTGGGGTTGAGATGTCAGGAGAGAAAGTCTCCCTGCTCAGTTTTAGTGCTTAGCAAGTGCTGATGCTGGGAGGATCAACAGGAGAAAAACCTGGCTTAGCTATTGAAGCTCTGGAACATGCTCAGCGAGCTTGGTAAGGTAGAATATCATCAGTGCAAAGAGAAGATCCTAAAATTTTACCACTGAATTCTAATTTCTACAGAGCTCCCTCAAACAGTGATTTTTCAGAAGCCAAAAATGGTTGGATTTCGATGGATTTTCATAGGGATGGCAAAAGACACCTGTCTGAAACCATTTTCAAATATGGAGGCACTGGACTTAGTGAAATAATTGTAAGGAACTTTTAACCCTCACAAAACATTACAATTTCCCCCACCTCATCTTTAGAGGAGCAAAACTATTTTGCTGAAACTTTCTCAAAAATGACATCCTTAGTCAGATTTTAACTAATTCACCCCAAAGAATGTATTTTATCTCATAATTTCCTAACCAAATCTGTTAGGATGCTCCTAAGTTCCTTTCCTTACTTTTCACAGTATAGCAACATATACCTCACAACTGCCATCAGCCACAGTGAATCACCTTATTTCTTCAGCTTTAAAAGTTTGGAGTGATGTTAGTCCATTAACATTTATCCCATCCAGCACTGGAAAGGCTGATATAATCATCAGATTTACAACGACAGGTAACTTGAAGTGTTTGGGGGGTTTTGTTTGTTTGCTTGTTTTGTTGTGATGGGCATGAAAGGATTTGCATTTCTTTTTCAAACTGACTTGTGATGATCCAACTTTGTAAATCACTAAAGCATGTATTTAACTTTAAGTCAATGGGTCCTAAGGTATAAGGGCTTCAGAACCTGATGGCTTGAGGGCTTAATCAGTACTTGACTTCCAAGGCAAAAAAATGTGTCTGTATGTATCTTTTTAGCGCATGGAGACTCTCAGCCGTTTGATGGCCCAGGAGGCACTGTGGCTCATGCATTTGGACCTGGAGCAGGAATTGGAGGTGATGCTCATTTTGATGGAGATGAAAAGTGGTCAGCAGAACATAATGGTAGGTAATTTCACAAACATCAAAAATGAGATGAACCTCAGCATGTGTTAAACAGCAGGGGTGTGCGAAACAGGCCCTATTCAATTTGGATTTGGCCCAAATCAGGGACAGTAATTCAATTAATTGATTCAGATCACTGTCCCTCATTCGATTTGGCTGAATCCAAATCTGAAGATTCAATGCTGGTTCAGAGAATCAGCAATTCAGACATAGACACCGCTTTAAATGTTTTTTTCTACATACCTGGAGGTACCAGTACAGCTCATGAACGATGAGATGCTGGGGCGCATGGAGCATCCCACAAGAGCATGGGGGGGGCCCACCAAGTGCTTGGCGGCAAACCCAGAAGTGGACCAGAAGTACTTCCAGTACACTTCCAGGTCCACCACAGAGTGCACTGGGGGCCCCCCCTGGCTTGGCAATCAGCCACGGGGGGACCCCGGGTGCCCCCCCAGACCCAGGAGGAACTAGTTACCAAGCCGGGGAGGCATGGGGGGGGCCCAAGTGTGTTCCCCAGTGGACCCAGAAGTGAACCAGAAGTGCTTCTGGTCCACTTCTGGGTCTGCTGCCAAGTGCGCTGGGGAACCCCGCACTTCTGTGGGACACTCCAGCCACCTGCTAGCTAGAGGTGAGTAGAAAAAACATTTAAAGTTGTGTCTATGTCTGAATCACTGAATCTTTCTGAATCTCTCTGAATCGATTCAGAGGGTTCCGATTCGATTTGGAGAGATTAACGCGTTGTCTGATCTGATTCAGATTCATAGATTTGGCCACCAAATCAAGATGAATCTCCATCATATTGAATCAGGGACCAAAGCTTCACGTATCCCTAATAAGCAGCACATAGCACCACTAAGGACATGTGAACACACTTTGACCAAAAGAGAAAAATTCAATTCTATTCATTTCTAGCCAATCAAAAAATCATTTCTATGAAATTATGTTTCTCCTACTTGTAGGAATGTCCCAGTTTATTGAAACTGCAGGTGCTATTTGTCATTTTAAGTATTATTTTTTTGCAGGTATTAACTTGTACCTTGTCGCTGCTCATGAGTTTGGCCACTCATTAGGTCTCCTCCATTCAAGAAATCCAGCTTCACTGATGTATCCAACATACCAAAAACGCAGGCTACAGGGATCTCCTCTCTCCTTTGAGGATGTACATAAGATTCAAACACTGTATGGTATGGATATATATATTAGGCTCCATATGTCATGCATTCAGATAATGTTGAATTGCCAATATCTGCTGTTTTTAGCATTTTTCATAAATAGAAAAAATAATACAGATATTATATACAATTACTAATAATACAATATAAAATAATGCAATTATTATAATAAAATTATAAAAAATCTTATTTAAAAGTAATTCAAAGCTATTTTTTGTAACTTCTGCTACTGCATTTGCATAGCAAAAATTATTCAGAGTTTGAGAAAACACCATGAAATGCCAATCCAGCAAATTATTTTTGGTGTGTATCTCTGTTCCACTGCATATCTACAGTTCAAAGAGTATTTTCTGATGGATTGATTGTGTTCGTAAACACAAACATATGTGATTAACTTTAAGCTTGAGCCAAGTCCCCCTTAAGTTAAGCATGGCCATAAGATTTTGAAAACCTGGTTCTTTCTTTAAAAATGAATGGCAAAATTCCCATTAACTTTGACTGGGCCATGATTTCACTCATTTTGGAGTTACTAGAAATAATCATACCAAAAACTCAGCTGGTCAGTGTAGCTCCATTGACTCTACAATTTACACCAGCCAGCAATCTGACTACCTTGTGCATACAGTATGGGATATGTTGAGCAACAAATGTATTTCTATGTTTTATTTTGATTTAGGACCAAAGCCCAGCTCTGGAAGAACACACCATTCATATATTTACCAATACTTGAATTATTTTTTCCCAAAACAACTATCAGTTGATGACAAATGTGATGTGAGCCTAACCTTTGATGCTGTTACTAGTTTCGGAGAAAACATTATTTTCTTCAAAAACAGGTTCAGTAAATATTCTCTTATTTTCATTTAAAAGCAGTGGCTTGGTAATTACCAAAAAAATGGGGCTTTCTGACTGATTAGCAATGGCTCAGAAAGGCCATTAATGCACAGAAAACTTTTTTTTATTTTGGATGAAAGCTTGAGCCTATTACAGGGGATATGTTAGGGCTCAAACACAAGTAAAAATGCAACATTTTTATTATAAAGGTAGCGAAAGAAATGAAGAGACTACAGAGAACACCGCTGTAGAATATAGTTACAAAGACGTGTTTATAAAAGTAGTTCCTAATCTTTTTCTGCAGCAAAGCCATTTTCAATTGACTTGTGACCCCACTTCCACACCTAAATGTGTAACTGAGTCTATAGGACTTACAACCCCCTAGATCAGTATTACTACCCAGTTTAAGGTTGTGAGCCTCCATTTGGGAACCACTAGTTTATAAAATTAATCCTATTGAAATGAGGACAGTTCAATGCAGATAACGTGTTTGAAAATATTGATAATTGTACTGAAATTGCTTTTTTAACTTTCAAGAAAAATGTGGATTAAGGATTTATCAACATCACAAGTGAAAGAAGGATTTATCAAAAATTTCTTATCACAAATTAAAGCAAATATCTCTGCTGCTTATGAAGTGTCTTCAAAGAAAACTATGTACATTTTCCAAGGTACTTTATTTTATACTCTACTACAAACTCACTTAAAATTCCATGATGACATATATTCTTATCATTTGAAGAATTCATTATTACAATACCCCAGTTCAGTATTACAAATGGTAAGAGATTTTCTTATCATTTGAAGCATTCAGTATTACGACACCTCAAAATACAACTTGATACTTTCTACTTACTGGAGATAAGTGTGTTTCAAAAGAATAAAGTCTAGAACAGCTCAGGATCTGATGCCTATCTAATGGCGAAAATTAGGGTTGTGCGAAATGGCACCATTCCGTTTAGACTTGAGTTTTGAGGTTTTGACGGAACAGCGTTTCGTTTAAAATTTCATTTCAATTTGAAACCGCTGTTCCATTCTGTTTCATCAAATCAGTGATGCTGTTTCAACGCTGTTTCAATGTTTCGCCCATACACTACAATGGGGAAGCTCGAAACAGCCTCTCTCATCTGGCAGGCAGATGGGGGCCCACAACCCCAGGAGGGCTGCTGGCGCTGTGTCAACCCTCCCAGGGTTGCATCCCTGATCTGCCTGCCAAATGAGGGAGGGAAGTGGGTGCTACTGCCTGGGGCCGGGGAGCTGGGGAAGAGAACTGAGCCCGATCGCTCAGTTCCCCGCCCCAGAGCTACGTTTGATCAGGCTGGGGAAAGGCACTCAGCCTTGCTGGGCTAAGTTCCCATCCCTGGTACTATGATTGGGCTGGAGAAAGGAACTCAGCCCAAATGAGCCAGGGTTACGTTCCTGGATGAGCCACATGGGGTTGCGAAGCCACTGGGAGTGCAGCCCTGGTTCTTCCCTGTCTCCCACCACCTGGCTGCTGGCTCCTTTGAAACTCAAAACATTTCAGAACTTCTGAAACATTTTGGCTAGCCTCATTTTGTTTTGAGGCTGTTTCAAAGCCCTTCATTTGAAGTCAATTTCGCTGTTTCAAGCTCGAAATTAGTCGAAAGTGTCAAATTGAAACAGTCTGCAAAATTTTTCACATATACAGTAAGATTCTGTGCAGAATGGGCTAGTGTTATCTCCCACTAAGTGTTATAAGAAAATATAGTTTCATAGTTTCAGGGTCGGAAGGGACCTAATAGATCTTCTAGCCCGACCCCCAACCAGGGCGGGAGAACAACCCAAAAAAAAAAAAAAAAGCCGCCCTAACTGTGAAGTAGTTTTTTCGGATGTCCAATCTGTACCTCCTCTCCATCAACTTGTGCCCATTACTCCTTGTTATGCCAGCGGGGGCTAGGGGAAACAGCGTCTCCCCCAAACCCTTCTGGTTCCCCCTAGTGAGTTTATAGACGGTCACCAGGTCCCCCCTCAGCCTTCTCTTGTGGAGGCTGAATAGGTTCAGGTCCCGCAGTCTCTCACTGTAGGGTCTGCCCTGTTGTCCCCGGATCATGCGGGTGGCCCTCCTCTGGACCCTCTCCATGTTGTCCACATCCCTCCTGAAATGGGGCGCACAGAACTGGACACAATACTCCAGCTGCGGCCTGACCAGCGTCGCATAGAGGGGGAGGATCACCTCCCTGGCTCTACTCGAGATGCACCTGTGGATGCATGACAAGGTCCGGTTAGCCCTGCCAACCATGACCTCGCATTGTCGGCCCATGTTCATCTTGGAGTCAATAATGACACCAAGATCCCTTTCCGCCTCCGTGCTCTCAAGTAGGGAGTTCCCCATCGTATAAGTGTGCTGCTGGTTCCTACTACCCAAGTGCAGCACCCTGCACTTGTCCGTATTGAAACACATCCTGTTCCTGTCTGCCCACCCCTGTAACCTATCCAGATCCTTCTGCAATCTCTCTCTCCCTGCTAGCGTGCTCACCTCCCCCCAAATTTTGGTGTCATCAGCGAATTCAAACAGGTTGCTTTCCACCCCAACATCAAGATCGCTGATGAAGAAATTGAACAGCGCAGGGCCCAGGACCGAGCCCTGGGGGACTCCACTACCCACCTCCCCCCAAGTCGATATACTTTTCATATACTTTTCATCTTTTAAATAAAATTATACATAATGCAGAATCACTTATAAAGATATTTATTCTGTTTCCTTAAGGTCATGATCATAAACCTATTACTATCAATCAAAAAACTTCCATTAGCCTCAGTAGACTGTGAAGCCCCATAAGACTGTTGATCCAGCGCTCAAGTCTGGCCATCCTGTGCAAAGACCAGGACCCAAGGGGAGGAAATTGCACTTGGGGACCCCATTGCACTTGGGGACCAGCTGGAGATTGTCCCCACCCCAGTCATTACACTGGCAGGAGAGACTCCACCAGCACAAATGACTCAGAGATTTTCCTGATATTGAGGAAGTCCCTGTCATGTGAGGACCTATCCCATTTAAAGTGAAGTTCTTAGTATATTTACAGAATAGGTACATCCTGGATAGTATTAGGTGATGCAGTGATCTTCCCATTGCCTGCCTAATACAAACTCTGTTTATGCAGGATCCAGATTTTGGACCATTAGAAACCTAAAGATGAAAAGAAATCCCTCTACAATTTACACATTAGGGCTTCCACATAACGTCAGTCATGTTGATGCTGCGTTACATATTCAAGAAACAGGAAAAACCCTGCTGTTTGTGGAAGAACACTGTTGGAGGTAAGAGAAGAAACAAACTTCATGTTTTATTTCTAAATGGCCAAAAGGTCTCTTCTTCTCTCTTCTTAAAAGCAAAGGTGATTCAGATCTGGAAGATCAGGGTAAGAACATGCCAGTTCTATGGCATCCACTTTCATCTTGACTCTTTCCTGCAGAGACAAAACTCTACCATAAGCCAGGGGAGGTACATAAACTGGTGTAAAGCCCTGGTTAATCAGGCCCACTCTTACACTGTGCTTTCCCAGGTTCTTGAGATATGCATCTGACAAATTTAACCCTGTAAGCAATGTTTTGCAATCTCCCTTTAATTGTTCCAGAGATTTATTGGAGGCAACATCCAGTGGAGGAAACACCCATGCCACACTGTTGGCATTATGGATCCTGTTCTGATCTCTGCTCCACTGTACAACAGTGCAAGTGAAAACAAACTGGTCCATTGACTTCAATATGTGTTCTACTTGCTTACATTACAGCTGGATTTGGTTCCCATACAATACCATGTCAGTATATATTATGCTTATTTTGTAAAGCCACTGAATGCCAGATTGCTACAAGTGAAACTCTTTTCCCTTGCACATTCAGTATCTGACCAAGTCATACTTCATCATCAGCTCTGCCATCAGCAAGTCAATGATAGAGGCAGAAATAGAACCTAAAATTACTAACCTCTGGTCCCATGGTTAACTACTAGATGCTCCCTGTGGTACTGAGCTTCTGGTCTACCCTAGGTTCCTAATTTGCATACATTTACCAACCAGTAAGTATCTAACCAGTAATCAGAGATGCACAGCATTCAGAGAAAACATGCATACCTGCTCTTTTCTGTCATGGAACATGATCTCTAGTGATGTCATGTCACAAAGGGTCTGAAAATTTATCAGTTGAAATATATATATTGAATTAGATAAATTATATGGATCTTGAAATATAAAGGTGCTTAAAACAGATTGAAGAAAATTCATCCCTAATTTAACTCCAATGAAGTCATAGTTTCATAGTTGGTAGGGTCAGAAGGGACCTAAGCATATAATCAAGTCTGACCCCATGCCACAGGCAGGAAAGCATGCTGGGGTCAAACATCCCTGGCAAGGAGTCTATCTAGCCTCCTTTTGAAGACCCCCCGGGTTAGGGGCGAGCACCACTTCCCTTGGAAGTTGGTTCCAGCTCCTAGCCACCCTGACTGTGAAGTAGTGCCTCCTGATGTCTAGCCTGAATCTACTCTCAATCAACTTATGGCCATTGTTCCTTGTTACCCCTGGTAGTACTTGGGGGAACAGGGACTTTCCCATTGCCTGCTGGTCCCCCTTGCCAAGGTTATAGGCAGCCATCAGATCCCCTCTCAGCCTGCTCTTGTGGAGGGTGAACAGGTTCAGGTCCCATAGCCTCTCCTCATAGGGCCTGCCCTGCTGCCCCCTGATTATGTAAGTGGCCCTCCTTTGGACCCTCTTGATGCTGTCCACATCCCTCCTGAAGTGCGGCGCCCAGAACTGGACGCAGTACTCCAACTGGGGCAACCAGTGTCACATAGAGGGGGAGGATCACCTCCTTAGACCTGCTCATGATGCATCTGTGGATGCATGACAAGGTGCAGTTAGCCTTCCTGACTGCGTCCCCACATTGGCGGCCCATGTTCATTTTGGAATCAATACTGACACCAAGATCCTTTTCTGCCCCTGTGCTGCCTAGAAGGGAGTTCTCCAGCCTGTAGGTATGCTGCTGATTCTTCTTCCCCAGGTGCAACACCTTGCACTTGTCTGTATTAAAACCCATCCTAGTCTCATCCATCCACATCTGTATCCTGTCCAGATCTAAGTCATTTACACAAGTCATTTACACAAGCCATGAATTTGGCCAGTGCAACCCCCTCCCCACCTCACTAAAATGATTAAGTAGTTGAATGATGCTCTGTAGATTTAATGAACTTCTTGTATCCTCTCAGCAACCTTCTTGCATTCATATTTGTACCTTAGTTATGATGAATCTACACATACTATGGATAAGGACTATCCCAAGAACATTTCATATGCTTTCCCAGGAATAAGTGGCAAAGTAGATGCAGCATTTGAAATGACTGGTAAGACTGTAATTTTTTTTAATCAAGAGCTTAAATAAGATATTACTCCCATAAAATGGTAGCTAGTGCAGGAATTACATATTTCACTCTGTATATGTGTATGTGTGTGAGAGCGTAAGCAGGTTAGAGAGCCTGCTGTCTTGGAGGCTGGCTTTGCTCCTGGGAACACCTCAGCCAGTTCTTTCAGTTTAAATGCATAACCCTTGTTCAAACAAACAAACTGAAAAACCAAAACTTTCAGCCCTTCTCTAGGTAGCAGGAGAGGCCCTTTTGCTCTGGCCCCTTCCTGGTACCAAGCTTATCTAGGTTCCACTCTGGACCACTTCTTCCCCACAACTTGACCTCCCTGCTCTCTCTGGGTTTTTAACACCCTGAGAAGTGAATTGCCTGCAGCTGGGTTTCTGCAACAGAGCTATCTGTTCCCACATAAAGAGCCAGGCCACCCTGTTTTATATAGCTATACATAGATTTCATAGATTTCATAAACATTAGGGCTGGAAGGGACCTTGGAAGATCATTGAGTCCAGCCCCCTGCCCCAAGGGCAGGAAGTCAGCTGGGGTCAAAGGATCCCAGCAAGATAAATGTCCAAATGTCTCTTAAAGGAGTCCAGAGTAAGTGCTTGCAGGGGCTATATAACACAAATAATCAGAAGATAGGTAGCGTTGTAGAAATAAGTGAATGCTGAAAGTGTTAATACCAAAAGGAAAGCAAACCATTTGATTCTAGGGAGGTAAAATGGACTCTCCCTGTGCACCATGTAGGGAATTGAGCATGCCACTCTGTCCCCTCAGTGCCTAAATGCTAGGTGTTTTGGCATCTCACTTGGAGGTTCCAACCTCCTCCCATGGATCAAGCCTTAGGTCCCACTAGTATGTGCTTGAAATATTAACCTGTAAAACCATTCTTCTGAATAGGGACAGCTTGAAGCATTTTGTTAAATATTGTTGAAATGGGGCCTGCTGATGAGACCTTTGCTGATCTATACTGAATGATAAGACACATAACCAAATACTGTGCTTGTATCAATTCAACATTAATAAATGCTACTGATAATCAGCTACTGTACATCCTTCCTTCAGCAGCTCATAAAATTACTAAGGCAGGCGACCAGCTAACCTGTACTAACTGTTGAGAGGAGGGTAGCACAAAGATGTAGCACAAACAGGCAAAACTAAAGAATTGTTAAACTAAAGAATTCCATGAGTGGACACTCAAGAAAAGTAAGTTTATTTGAGTTCAGTTTACACTGATTAAGCAAATAGGTTTCCCACACTGGTGACGCATAGGGGGTGCAAGTGCAGCCCCTGAGATCAGCCATGAAACCCCTGGAAGCTCCAGCCATGAAATCGGAAGTGCACTTCCCATTTCACTGCTGCCTCAGCAATCGGCCACTGGGGGAACCTCTCCCTGACCTCCCGATTGGCTGCTGGGGGACCCCCCACAACCTGTCGGCGATCTGGTGCCTCCCCAGACTGAGGAGGCACCGGTCATCCATGGTTTCCCACACAATATTTCATGCTATTTTATTTTCAATACAGGTTTCCTGCACTTCATTATTGACTTCAAATCATACAAGTACGACTACAAATCCCACATCATTGTGGATGTCTTTGATGTGGGCACCTGGTTGGGATGCTAGGAAAATTTGGTTAAAAGGCCATCTCCTCAAGAACTTCAGGAAGATCACATTTTTAATATTTTGATATTCTGTGTCTGATGAAGAATTTAAGAATGAAAACATCTCCTCTTGTATAAGACTTCCTTTCAGTCAAGAAAGTGTTAGTCATAGCATAATTTAATAAATGCAATATATCAAAATACTGTTTCCTAAATACAAATTATTATGAAATGATCACCCAGGTTTATAACTATTTGACCGTATACTACATTAGGCACTATAAACATTTTCCAATAAGCAAGCATGTGACTGTTTTTCTTTGAATGGCAATTATTATACAAAAAATCAAATCAAATCAAATCAAATATTAAGAAATACACATGGGTGTCTTCTGTTCCCCCTCCCCCTCCCTGCAGGTAACTGGGAAGATCATAAGACTCGTGTACTAAACCACCTTTATTATGTATCTCTTACCACTGTTTTTGGTTTATATACAGAAAACACAACAGACTCTGAAAGCTATGGTATGAGCAGAGCCCAATACAATTTTCATGCAGTTCACCTGGAACAGTTACATTCATAAAATCATAGAATCATAGAAAGTTAGGGTTGGAAGGGACCTCAAGAGGTCATCTAATCCAACCCCCTGCTCAAAGCAGGACCATCCCCAATTAGATCATCTCAGCCAAAGTTTTGTCTTGCCAGCCTCCAAGGATGGAACTTCCACCACCTCTCTGAGTAACCTGTTCCAGTGTTTTACTACCCTCCTAGCGAAACAATTCTTCCTAATATCTAACCTACACCTCCTTTACTGCAACTTGAGACCATTGCTCCTTGTTCTGTTATCTGCCATCACTGAAAATAGTCTAGCTCCATCCTCTTTTGAACCCCCCTACAGGTAGTTGAAGGCTGCTATTAAATCTCTTCTCAGTCTCCTCTTCTCTAGACTAAATAAGACCAGTCTCTCCTTATAAATCATGTCCCCCAAACCCCTCACCATTTTTGTTCCCCTCCACTGGGTTCTCTCCAATATCTCCACATCCTTTCTGTAGTAGGGGGCCTACATTCATTGAGAAGTTAGATCCCTGGAATAAATGGTACCAGTGGAATGGAAGTGGGGGCCACAACCTAGACAGACTTGAGAACTAGTAAACTAAACTGAACTGATACAGTATAAATGGCTAAGTGATTCTGCAAAGGAATGACAGCAGTGAGCACAAGAACTAATCTGAGACGGATGTCAATGGAAAAACATGATGATTGAAAGGAAAGGTGACATTAGACAAGCCTCACACATGGGAATCAGGCAGCTGTTTCTAGTGAAGAATGATAAAGAGAAAGAACAGGGTCCAGAAAACATACAGGGACCCATATACACCCACAGGTCAACACCAAGGAGACACATTAAGATACAAGGAAATCACTTTGGAATCAGAACATTGGCAGACACTTCCACTTTTTGAGGTAGTGTGGTTGGCAAAAAGCCTACTATGCCAATTCAGAATTACTACAGACCTGCTCTCCTGCATGGAAGGAGACAGAGCCTATGTAATACATCGATTGGTGCTCCCTGAATGTAACAGGGCATAGTCTGTTTTCTGTAAGAGAACCTAGGCCTCTCATCTTCCTGGGTTTAAAAAAGAGATACTTGCTGATCCTTTTTGGAAGAAATACCATGGTAAGACCGAACAATGGACTATCAGATTGGATTCTGAATGCTTCAGACAGCCAGTGTTCTTCTCACCTTCCCAGGGTGTTTTTGCTGAGTTAGGGCAGGGCTTTGTCCTTTGTGAATACAGTACTAGTTTACCTCTTTGAATGAAACATTAAATGGCTTTCTAAAGGCCTGCTCATTCAACTACAAAGGAAACATTCACACTCTGATGATTTGGATTTCCCCCCAAGCACCAATTAACCTTATAGTAGTGAATGGACACTACAGGAATGTGCCTACAACCCAAACTTCCAGAACCATGTCATCATTAAGCTCTCACCTTTCGTTAAAAAGGAAACTTCTAGCCCTCATTTTTGGCATTATAATCTGACTAGAACAGAGACCTCTTCCTGGGACTGAGAAAAGCCTGAAAAAAATGTTCTTAAACAAGTAAACTGCCCAATGCATATCGATGGGGAGTTTACTCCAAAACCAACTGCTCTAGAGGGCCCCTGACACACTACCCCAATGAAAGACTTTGTACCATTGAAAAAGTGTGTAGCGGGGCCAGCCTGCCCTTTTAATCAGATATCCCATCTGTTAGAACTTCACTGCTGAAGGAATCCTCTTGTTGACAATAACATCTCATGTATAGGGGGGATGCCCTTTTTGTTCAAAAAGTGTAGAAAGCTATTAGGGGAAAAGAGAGGCCTACTCAGTTGCCCCAGCCATTACCACTCCAAATGGTGTCTAACCTAACCCTAAAGTATCTACAGCCTGTAATTTCCTAATTACCTAAGATGCCCATATTAACATTACTGATGCACACACAGAAGCACCTCAGTGTAGAAAATGTGAGACAACTTAGCTTCAATCTCATTTTTAGGCCTTATCAGGATTCAAAAGAGAGTTCTTTCTCTGCCCTACTTGCTTAGGTCTGTTCCCACCCAGGTGAGCGACCGTTTAACCACTGTGTTACAGTCATGCTTAACATTTCTTCATCTGTCTCTCTGGCCCAATAAATATTTAATAAAACCTTGTTTAAATGGAACAGCTTCAGATAGACTGAAATTACCTTTCCTACCCCAGCCTTGCATGTCAACTGGTAGTTAAGGCATTAACATGGAAGCTGGGTGTTCAAATCCCATTAGATAGAAGAGAATTGAGACTAGGTCTCCCAAATCATGCTATGATAGTCCTCTGGTATAGTAAAAAAAAAATCTTTCTCCAGTTATGTTTCTGGATTTGAAAATTTCTGGATCCCCACTCAGGTTTCATAAAAATAGCTTAAGCATCTCATTCTAGAATAGGGAATTATGCTAATCCTGAGTGAATGGAGTCACCTAATACCCAAGTGGGGCATGCCACTGTCTTCAGAATTTTCTATTGCCTAGGGTAGGTGATTTCCCATTCAGCCTCCTGGCTTTTGTAGATCAGTCTTAGCCACTTTACCATCTTCATCCCTTGTATAGGGAGTCTACAACTCTAACTCAGACATTGTGAATTCCAGAAGGAAGCATTCAGCATTTTAGTGCTTAAGACCCTCTGTGGATCTAGCACTTAAGGTTTATAAAGGGTTTTGAGACCTTTGGCCATTTTTAGACAAGTGTGGATGTTTGGTGTCGCTACTTGTCCCCAGGGAACGCCTATGCCACACATGTTTCGGCATGTGGCAAAGTTACCTCAGGTGGTGTAGGGGAGGCTGAGGCCAGCACATTTCTGAAGGTTTAAAGTGCAGTCATAACAGTTTGGGTGTGCTGCCCAAATTATGCTGATAAGTGTAATTTGGGGCCTGAGTCACATGGAATAAGAATATTACAAATTTGTACTGTAATTCTCCTCAAATATTAACTATAGTTTCATGAAGGACAAGGTTTATCTCCAATTCATTGCTTTGTAGAAAAGCAGTTCAAATGCTATAGAATGTTTTAGTTTTGAATGGCTGCTTGATTTAATCATATTTGTGACAATAGTAGTTGCTATTTATATGCAAGGCAATAAATAGTTTTGGGTCTCTGTACCCAAAACTAAAGAATTGACATTCCCATAAAATATACTTGTGTTCCTATGCAAACAAGCATGTTGATCAGAACTGGCCAAATATAATCGGGGCCTTTACTGGGAAGTGGGAAATGTGGATCCAAAATCCTCTGAGTGATATAGTTTGGATCTAAGGTCTCTCAGTTCTTGGACAGGTACTAGGGCTGTGCGAAAAAGCACCATTTTGTTTCAACTTCCATTTTGCCGTTTCACAGCACAGTGTTTTGTTTCAAGTTTTGTTTCATTTCAAAGGCACTGTTCTGTTTCATTTCATCAAAACTGTTTCACTGTTTCGACACTTTTTCAATGTTTCGCCCATTGGCTATAATGGGGAAGCACAAAACTGCCTATAACTTTGTCATTTCTTGTTTGATTTGGATGAAACTTGCAGGAATGGTAGCCCCTGCTGAGATCATGATGCTTGCCAAGTTTCAAGGAGATGGGTACAGGTATTTCTGGGAAACTGTACCTCAAACTGTTCAGAGCAAAACTTGTATCACTTGTAAGTGTGAAGGCACAGAGAAAGCTCAGTTCAAGCAATGTTTTTTGTGCTGTTTTTCCGTCCCTCCCCCAGAGCACTGGGATTGGAAGGGACCTCAGGGAAGGATCACAGTCACTGTCCAGCTACACAGTCAATATCAGAGCAGTCCTTCCCCCCTCTTCTTCCTCCCTCTCCTTAGTTTCTCTTTAGCTGCAAACAAGCCCAGCTTCGAAAGTCGAAACGTTTTGAAACTTTTGAAATGTTTTGACTGCCCCATTTCATTTCTAGGCTGTTTTGAAGCCTTTCATTTCATTTCAGTTTTGCTGTTTCAAGCTCAAAATGAGTCAAAACAGCGTCAAAACCAAACAGCTGGTGAAGTTTCACACAGCCCTAGCAGATGCATTAACTACTAGGATATTGAGCTAAACATAGGATGGGTCCTTCTCTATCAGTTATTAGCTGTGGCTTTACCCTGATTAAAGTTTCAGGGACTTGCACAAAATTAAGCACTGCCTAAAGATGAAATAGGATTTGTGCCTAGGTGTATGTAAAATAGGGCATTAGGTCAAGAAAATTATTCACCACAAATGAATATCATTTCTAGATATAGCTGTGAACTTAATTGATTTTTTCTATTTGCTTGCCAAACTAAAACTTCCAAAAATGCTTTTGGGTTAAACAAAATGTTTTGTTCTATCTGAAATATTTCAGTTTTAACTTTGGGAGGGGGGTATTGGTTTTATTACATTTTTAATTGAATTAGGTGCATTTGTCTGGAATCATGATTTTTAAATGAAAATCATAATGGTTCATTAAAAATATGGAAAATAATTATTTTCCACTTTTCCAGAATGTTCTTGGTCAAAGGTATTCACTCAAATTCAGCAGAAATTTGGGAAAAGTTCCAGCAAATACATTTTTTCCCCTGAACTTTCACCCACTTGTATTTTTGTTTAATAATTATAAACATACAGTGTTTAAAATATTTTCGCGAACTGTGCCCTTTCTCTATGATAGCACTAAATTTACTTTTACAACATGCATATGCATACTTGGACAGGGAAGGCTCAGGTAAGAATTATTGTTTGGAGTGGACCATCATGTCTCCTCTGTAAATATGTCCTTCACCATCTAGTTTCATTAACCTGAAAGTATGCTTTTAACAACAGTTCTAAAGTACTTGATCCATTTACTGTTATCCCCCACAATACCTCTGAGATAATTAATGGATTATATCATATTTGAAAAACATGTGAGTCATTTAGGTGGATCACATCAACTCCATTAAGTCTGTGAGAAACAGTGGAGAAACTTTTGCCGTCAGATGGAAAACCTGCTGGAAGACATGAGGACTGTTTGGATAGTTCTCTTCATTTTGTCGAACTCTGGATATTATATCTGCATGGCCTTGCAGAGTGAGCATGGAGGAACAAATCAGCATGATTTCATGTATGCTAAGGTAGGTGCAAATCGCTTCACAATATAACAGACACTTGAACAAGTGTCCTATGATCTCAAAACTACACGGATGAATATTTATTGGACCAAAACTGAGCCCTCCTCATGTAAATGTTACTTAGGGACCATGTTCTGATACCATTACTCGCACTGAGTTGCAGGCTCTGTAAACAGTCTCACTGAAGTCAATGAGACTATGCATGGGCAAGAGGCTGTTCATTTTAAGTAAGGGTGGCAGAACCTGCCTCTGTGAGCTAATACCTGCAAATCTTGGCTGCTGTACACATGCTCAGAGGTGGGGGGTGGGATGTAGAAAATACAGCGGCTCCTGAACAACTGCTTTAATTAAAATGGCTCACCACTATGTGTATTAAGCTCCCCTGCATTTCAAAATGGCCACAGGGGTATTTGAACTAAAGCTCATTCTAAAGCACCCCTGAAGCCATTTTGAACATGGAGGAGCTTAATACACATGACAGTGAGGAGACGCTGGAGCATTCTTAGCAGAACATGAATGAGCATGTCTATAAGCAGCCTTTGTTGTTAGGAGGTTGTAGGAATTTTGCCTGAATAAGGGACATGATATTAAATTCCTTGCCTTCTATTGCCCAAACTTGTTTTGAATCTAGCTGACATTCTGGTTGTTCAAGGACACATAGGGTGCCCAGAGCAAGGCCTGTAACAAATGCCTTCATGGGCAGGGGAGGGGAGGGAAAAGAAGTCATAACAGTAGAAAGTCTCCATGAGATATCAATGTTGGAGTGCACCTGAAAGTGTCTACTCCCTTGGTCATAAAGGTGCCATATATCACTAAACAGAATGCTAGTTAAACTCCCAAATCTACCTTCTTTGGAGCAAGCTGTTCATTGGTATTATGGCCTTGGTTTCCTCATATCACAAAAGCTCTAAGAACTGTTGTGATGCCCAGATGTTGGTATTGTAGACTGTTATTTACAAAATGGCAAAAGATAACTCAACTGAGAGATTAGTTCAAGCAAGAGGCATTACTTTAACTGCAGTGTACATATAAAGCAATACTTTTGTGCCAGCTTAATAATGTTATAATAAGAACATTAATCAGGATTGAATGTGAAGTGCATATCACTGGCACTTAATAATTATTTCATTATAATAGGGAACCAAATTCATACTGTTTTTGCTCAGGCAAAACTCCTTCAGTGGGATCTGGGCTGAGTAGGACCTGAATAAAGTCTACTTAAGAAGTTTACAGTTTGGTCCACATCATAAATATAATTTCAAATTTTAAAATATTCTTATTTTTACAATATGATGACTTTTTGGTAGTCACATACATGAAATGGGTTTGGTAGTCTCAGTTCAATTCCAATTAAATTAGTCCACGGAGTCAACACACAAAAATTACTATCCCAGCTAGCGCTAATGATAACTTTTGTTGATAAGCTCAGAATAGAAGCCTCAATGTAATATTAGAGGCTGAACTACCATCAAACCTCTAGATATGGGCTTTGCAGCTGACGCTAGAAAGGTCAAAAAGTATGAAGTTTATATTATTGTTTCCTTTTCTAAACTTGTGAAGTGAATAAATTTCACTTTTTAGAGGTCATCTAAATACTCTGCCCCCCCCCAAAAAAATTATGCAAATCAAATACTATTTGAAAGTGTACACAGAATGCATTTTTTTTCCATCTTTTAGGTTGGTCTAATAAAAGATATCAAATTTACCCAAAGAACCTTGTCTGCCTACATCCTTAGATCAACACGGCTACAATCGACACCCCTGTACTTCTTTAGAGTCATATAGGTCTAAAAATGGTGCGAGTTACATGAGAATCAAGCACAACAAGTCCTTCCACCAAAAAATAAGTAATAGTTCATCAAAATGAAACGATAGATTTTGGGAATAAAATATTGATGAATTTATTGATTGGACTGACTGAATTTTCAGGGTTAATTTTAAATAATAGGGAAATGTATAAAGAGTCAGAAAAGACTACTAATGACTGACTGGCACAGTTTAGATTTAGGATTTTTACTTATTCACAACCAGAATTACTTTGTTTTGTCGTCTCACTCATGCTGAATAGTACCTTACTTTCAAAGACCATGAAATACCGGTCATATGCATTTCATTGGGATTGCCTTTAGGATAAAGGACTGTTAACCATGAGTAAGGAAATCAGACTGGCCAAGGTGAATCACAGAACCACTAGAAGGGACCTCAGGAGGTCATCTAATCCAGCCCCCTGCTCAAAGCAGAACCATCCCCAAATAAATCATCCCAGCCAAGGCTTTGTCTAGTTGGGGCTTAAAAAACCTCTAAGGATGGAGATGCCACAACTTCTCTGGGTAATCTGTTCCAGTGCTTTACTACCTTTTTAGTGAAACAGTTTTTCCTAAGATCTAACTTAAACTTCCCTTGCTGCAACTTAAGACCACTGCTCCTTGTTCTGTCATCTGTCACCACTGAGAACAGGCTAGCTCCATCCTCTTTGAAACCACCCTTTGGATAGCTTAAATCCCCTCTCAGTTTTCAATTCTCCACACTAAATAAGCCCAGTTCCCTCAGCCTCTCCTCAGAAGTCATGTACCCCAGCCCCCAAACCATTTTTGTTGCCCTCTCCTGGACTCTCTCCAATTTGTCTACATCCCTTCTGTAGTGGAGTGCCAAAAACTGGACACAGTACTCCAGATGTGGCCTCACCAGTGCTGAATTGAGGGGACTAATTACTTCCCTCAATCTGCTGACAACACTCCTACTAATACAGCCCAGTATGCCATTAGCCTTTTCTGCAATAAGGGCACACCTTTGGTTCATATTCAACTTATAGCCCATCGGTCCCCAGCCTGTAGCACTGCGTGGGACTGTTCTGTCCAAAGTGTAGGACTTTGCACTTGTCCTTATTGAACCTCATGAGGTTTCTTTTGATCCAATCCTCCAGTTTGTCATGGTCTTCCTGAATCTTAGCCCTGCCCTCCAATGTATCTTCTACTCCCCACATCTTGGTGTCATCTGCTAATTTGCTGAGGGTGGAGTCAATCCCATCTTCCAGGTTGTTGATGAAAAAGTTGAACAAAACAGGCCCCAGGACCAACCCCTGGGGAACTCCACTTGATACCAGCTGCCAACTGGGCACTGTGCCATTGATTAGTCCCCTCTGAGCCCAGCAATCCAGCCAGTTTTCTATCCACCTGACAATCCATTTGTCCAACCCATACTTCCTTAGCTTTTTTGCAAGAATATTGTGGGAGACTGTATCAAAAGCCTTGCTAAAGTCAAGGTATATCACAACCACTGCTCTTCCCACATCCAAAAAGCCAATCATCTCATCATAAAAGGCAATCAGGTTGGTCAGGCATGGCTTGCCCTTGGTGAATTCATGCTGACTGTTCCTAATCATGTACTCCTCCAATTGCTTAGAAATGGATACCTTAAGGGCCTGCTCCCCATGATTTTTCCAAGGACTGAGGTGAGGCTGACTGGTCTGTAGTTCCCTGGATCCTCCTTCTTCCATTTATTAAAGATGGGCATTATATTTGTCTTTTTTAATCATCTAGGACCTCTCTCAAATTGCCATGAATTTTCAAAGATAATGGGTGGATACTCTGCAATAACATCAGCCAACTCACTTAGCACCCTCAGGTGCATTGCATCTGGCCCCATGGACTGTACATGTCCAGTTTTTCTAAATATTCTCTAACCTGTTCTCTCAGCACCGTTGACTGATCACCTGCTTTCCAAACTGTACTGCCAAGTGCAGTAGTCTGGGAGCTGACCTTGCCTGTGAAGCCTGAGGTGAAAAAGGCATTAAGTACTTCAGTATTTTCTGTATTGTCTGTCCCTAAGGGCACTTACACACACGCGGAGAGCCTGCTCCAATATGCTGGAAGCTCCATTCATTAGGTGGATTCTGTCTCTTCCAAACAATCCTTCTTCTTGGAACAACATCCCATGGTTGAAGAAGCCAAAGCCCTGCTAGCAACACCATCTGGGCAGCTATGCATTGATCTGCAGGATGCATCTTTTTCTGTCTGGGCCCTTCCCCTTGACTGGAAGGATCAAGGAAGACACCACCTGAGCACCTGTTCCCACCACCTTTGCACTCAGGGCCCTGTATTTACTTTAGATCTGCTCAGGGTCACTACTCCTGGGAGTATCATTGGTGCCAAAATGAATAGGCAGCATGGAGTAGCAGTCAGAGGGCTAGATAAGTCTCAGTAATCCTTCTGTGACATCTCAGATCTGGGCTTCAGGCCAGCAGCAGACCTCCCAAGACAACAGGTCAGGCTGGCAGATGATGCCTCAATCCTCCAAAGAACAGAGTCAACAACCACCATCACCCATCACTTCCTCTTTGTGGCAATGGTCTTGATCCTCCCAACCTTGGAAAGGCCTGGCCTGGCCTCTTCCACCAATGGAACATATTCCTCGTCCACCATTGCCTGGGCTCTATATCTGGTCTTCAGGCAAACCACTGCAGGTGGAGATGAAGATTTCTGTTTGCTGCCATAGATCACAAGCTTCCAGCTTCTACCTTCCTGGGAATCCATATCCCCTTCCTTCTTTAACACTGCCTGTGGCAGTCCTTCCTCTGCAGTCCTAGAGGTCTCCTCCAACATTGAATTGATGCATTCCTCATGACAGAGGATGCTTCAGAGCCTTGCCACCTCCTCCTGCAGCTCTCTTGCCTGCTTCCTGAAGGACACCACCAGGAGCTACCACTCACATTGCAGGTACTCCCCCACCTGCCTGTCACTGGAAGGAAGCTGCAAGCTGCAGTCTCCATAGCACCAAACCAGGACCTGGGTGGAAGCCTCAACAGTGAGCAGTCCTGCCTAGACACCTCAGAGGTGCAAGCAGAGGAATAGCTGGCAGAAGCAGCGCCTCTGTGATTGCAATATTCTCCAGCCATGTCTTTGGGTCTCCCTTCCTGCCCCTTTTTCTAAGCAGACCTTCCCTAGCAAACTCCCCTGTAATCTGGCCTGTTTGCTGCTCCTTGGTCCTGAAAGTTTCCCTTTTCCCTGCTTCCACTCATCAGCCTTACAGTGAAGGAAAGTGAGTTTCTAGGCAAACTCCATAGTGAACTTCCCCTCACTTGGGACTGTAGTTAAGCAAGGGGCTAAGTATTGGTCTAACTCCTGAGTTTTAGCTACTTGCACTAAATAGATGTAGGTTAGCTACTCTTAATTAAATAAATAATTTACCTTAAAGGCTCCCTTTCAAAGAAGGGAGCTGTGAACTGATTTGCAATCTGCTTGCAAACTACCTCATTTGCTGTTCCTGTTCACTCAATCCCTGGTCACTTAGGGAGTCTCCTTGTATACCTTTCTGGGCCTGGCTTTGCCCCTTTTTTAGGGCTTTTGTCCAACACAGGCAGCAATCACACAGCAGTCACTCAGTTAACAGCACTCCCAAATGTTCAAAGCCCATGCCCAACACACACACAGCCCACCAAACAAACACTCAGTAAACCAGACACAGGCAGCCCTGGCTCACGTACCTTCCTGGAGCAGGATCTGGTACCTGGTTCCTCTTCCTCAACCCCTTCCTCCTCTTGCCTAGAAAGGCAATCCAGCTGTGGAGTCACCCTAGCCTGTTGTGTGCCCACAGGCTAGACATGCCATGGACTGGAAGGCGCCTAGGCCAGGTGGGACCAAGGGACCCACTGAGGGCCAGACAAAGTCTCTCTGTAGGCTGGGTGCTGTATTTTGCCCGCCCCTTTCCTAAAGCCTGTCTTGATAACTCCCTCTCTATTTAAGGGCAAGCTCTTTAACCATTTTCTCTATATTACTAGAGAGGTAAAATAGAAATAGAAGTATTTTCTTGTTAACTTGTGAAGTGTGGTTAACTGGTTTTTGTGAAGTGCTTAAACACACTTTTAAATTTATCTCAATACCTGAAAGAAGAAGGCTTAAGAATAAAGTACTTAAAAATTATATTTCACTGAAGTGTGGCCCATGTTTTGAACATATTTTGAACCTACCACTTTCATACAGAAATATCTGCAGCAGTTTTATAGCATGGATCCAGTCTCTTCAAGGACAGCAAAAAGGTATATTAGAGCTGTCAGTAGCAAGATGAAAGAGATGCAAGGGTTCTTTGGTCTCCATGTGACTGGTAAATTGGACACTCAAACAGTGGCAAAGATGAAAAACTCTCAATGTGGGGTCTCTGATGTGAAGAAACATGAGTTCTATATAAAGAAGCCCAAATGGAAGGGAAATACAATAACATACCGGTAAGTGCTTATGACTAGACTCTTTTGTTTCTGTTTTAGCAAACAGTATGTAGGTGATTTATGCTATGCTCCCATAGCATATTAAAGAACTAAATAATTTTTAAAAATCCATAGCTTATCTATAACAATGGTAACATATTCTATAGCTGGTCTGTTCTGTGAAGTACCTAAATTGTTCCCCTTTGCCAAAGAAAACAAATCCAGAGGTAAGGAACCCATGGTGTGTCATGCTGTTCCTGACATTACTTTATTTGTGGTCCCATGTAAGTACTTTAGAAATGCCTACTGTTACCACTTTACATTTTTCAAAGCTCTATACCAGGGGTGTCAAACAGGCCCCACATTCTGAAGCCATTCCACAGGGTTAGGACAGTATAGGTACAGTACAGTGCAGTATAGGGCTAGTACAGTGTAGGCCCCACAGGCTACTTGTAGCATACATGCTGGCTCCAGCCCCATGTAGCAAGTGCAGCACACATGCAGCTCCAGCCACGCACATGGCACAAGACCAGGACATATGCTACACACAGAGCATAAACCAGTATGGAGTGTGTGCTGCATGTAGTGCCTGCACCAGACTAGCCTTGCGCGCTGGCTCTGGTACACAGAGCTGGTCTAGGAGCCCTCTGGCACACAGAGCTGGTCTATGAGCCCCAGGTCCAGCATACAGGGCCAGTATGGCATAGGTGCTGTAGGTAGTGCTCACTTGAGACTACACCAGGTGCTGCATGCAGCACATGCCAGCCCCAACCCCAGCCCCAGCCCACCACATGCATCACATGCTGGCCCCAAGCCTCACATGGCATGCAGTACAGGGGGCAGTCTGGGAGGCATGCTGCATGTGGCCCCCACACTGGACTGGCCTTGTGGGCTAGCTCTGGCACACAGGGTCAGTCTGTGAGCCCATTCCAGACCAGTCCCAGATCCAGCATGTAGGCACCACATGTAGTGTATGCCCCAGACTGGCCCTGGGCACCGTGTGCAGCCCATGTCAGATGGGTTCCATGCATCATATGCAATGAGCAGGGGTGGGGCCAGCATATACTGCTTACAGCACACAGGCTAGACAATAGGGCTCTACAAGCCAGATCCAGCCCACAGCCCAGATCTTTGACACCCATGCTCTAAACAATATTAACTAACTACTGATTAACTGGCTAATAAAATGTTCACCCTATTCATGGTAGATTTTATGCTCACATTTGACAGATTCAGAAGACTAGACAAACAGAAGCTAAGACCCACCTTTTCAGAACTGAGTGCCTACGTTGTATGTGATTTAATATATAGATATGTAAACTCATAGTTTGATTTTTCAGAGGTGCTAAGTGTGGCTTATAGGATTTCAAGAACTTTGAAGACTATCTGTTCATTGTTCCAATGCCATTAATGCACCAGAAAGAGTTTGAAAGATGTGTTGGGCAAAAAAAGTTATGGTTGAGTTTGTTGGAAATTAGACATAGCAAGGTATGTTATGAAGTGAGGCCAGATGGGACTCATAAACAAGGACTCACTATTACAGTAATATTAGCTCTTAGACATCCAGGTAGAACAGGGGTGGGCAAAATACAGCCCACAGGCCAGATCCAGCCTGCAAGGCCATTCTATCCAGCCTGTGGGGCCCCTAAAAAATTAATATTTCTCTGCCCTTGGTTCCTGTCAAAAGTGACAGGAACCAAGGGCAGTAGGACCCAGGAGAAGCCCGGTGGGCTCCAACAACAGCCGGGCCCACCTGGCCCCGCTCACCCAGCCGGAAGCCCCACCTGGGGCCTCTGGCCTGGGAGCATGTGGTTGCCCCGCGCTGGAACCGCAGGTAAATGGGGGGTGAGAAGGGTAGGGGGGACCCTGGGCAGGGAAGGAGCGTAGGGGAGAAGCAGCCCCTTCCCCGTCCCATGGCTGGCACCCCGTGCTGCAGCTGCTCGCAGCCCCTGTGATGCTGCCTGTGCCTGCTCCGAACAGCCCTGTGCGAGCTGCAAATGGCTACAGCAGGGAGCGCCTGCCAGAGGGCAGGGGAGGGGCTGCTTTTCCCCCCACACACAGCTTTTCCCTGGGCTCCTTCATTGCATGGAGAAAAGCAGCCCCTTGCCGGCCCCATGAGTGGCCCTATGGCTAACACGCTTCCTGCTGCAGGCGCTCACAGCCCACATGGGACTGTCTGGAGCAGGCACAGGCAGTCTGAGGTGGGCTCTGAGTGGCGGCAGCATAGGGCACTGGGCACTGGGTGGGTGAGGGGCTGCTTTCCCCCGCACCATGCTCAGCACCACCTTGTAACCCAGGCCCACTGCCAGACTGGCAGCAGGGCCAGGTTACAAGCTGGTGCTGAGCATGGGGAAGAGTGGCCCCTCACTCACCGTGTGGCTGGTGCCCTGAGCTGCAGCTGCCCACAGCCTGCCTAGGACTGCCTGTGCCTGTTCCAGACAGCACTGCATGGGCTGTGAGCACCTGCAGCAGGGAGCACCGGCCATGGGGTGGGCCAGGGGCCACTTTTCCCTGCGCTCAGCATGAACTTCTTCCCTGCTGGCAAGCAGGGGGTCGGGGCTGTGTGCAGCCCCCCACCTGTACTGCAGGGCTGGGGGGCACTGGGTGTGAGTGGGTGGGGAGCCAGTGGGAGCATGGGCCCTGGACTGGTGCCCCGGGGTCAGTGCGAGCAGGGCCCAGAGCAGGGTGGCAGGAGCATGGAGTCCCAGCTGGCAGGGACTCTATGGAGCCGACCCAGCTCCCCCCTCTCCCTGCTGGTGCAGCCTAGCCCAGGTCCATGGACCCCTGCCAGCCTGCACCCCGCTTTGGGCCCCATCGGTGCGGCCCTGGGACATTGGTCCCAAGATATTGGGACATTGGTTCCAAAATGGTGACCAGAGGGTGGGGCACCTGTCAAGGGGTGGGGCTACCCATGTGGCCCTCAACAGCCTTCCAAAACTGGGTAAGCAGCCCTCTGCCCAAAATAACTGCCCACCCAGGTAGAAGATTCACTATTAAGGCCTAGTGAGAAGAATGTAACCTTTTTCTCTGGTGTGGATGGACCTTGCACCAATGATCTATATCTTAGTCACTGAAAATGTGGGTTGCAATGAGACTTCGTTGAACCACACATTGAGTTCACATAAAAATAAAAACTACAAATGTCTATGGATAACTTAAAGCATAGCAGCAGATTATAACAGTGCTCCAGGATCTAAACTAGTGTGAGAGAGATTTATATTGCCTCTGTAGGTTTTATGCACATAAACATTCCCTTTACACAGAAGGAATTGTCCCAAATAAATGTCCAGCTTTTTTAGGTCAACTTAGCATTATTTACATGAGGCTCAATGAACCTGGTAGACCAGAGAATGCAGCCCTTTGATCACATAACTCACAATTTTAAATAACTGCATATTAATATTTGTGCTTTCTGAACTTTTTTTTAAATGAAGGATACAGAATTACACCAACAAACTGAAGCATGAGGAGGTGGAACAAGTAGTTGAAATGTCACTAAAGGTTTGGAGTGATGTCACACCACTAAATTTTGTGAGAAAACACAGTGGAGATGCAGATATCATGATTACATTTGCTTCTAAAGGTGCCTTGTTTTTTCTGTACTGCTTTGTGAAGAATATGTCCAGGCATTTTGAAGTGCTAAGGTTCTTTTTTTGGAAAAATTAACATATACCTCAAGTCTGTGTGCCCAGCACAGTTCCCCATCCATTTTGTCCAAAGACTTAAATGAAATGGGCAGTGGTTTGTCTGGAAAATGGAGCTGAGCCGGAGGGGCCACTGGATGGTGCTTAATCAGTTTGCTGGTTAAAGAACTATATTGGGAAGTCAAAGGGGTAAAGGTTCAAACTCTGTCTGTGTAAAGGGTGCATAGAACCCAAATCTCCCACTTACTAGGTGAGAGCCCACTCAGCTACTAGGACTAGAATGCAGTATTCTTCCTTTCATCTCTAGTTGTTAGTCATCAGGTGGTAGCAAGCTACATTTCCATGACTTACATGCACTTATGCATCTAGAATAGACATGTGTATGTAGCCATACTTGCCTAGGACGAAGGAGTAACCAAGGGTACCTATCAGGGGGGTTGAGTTTCTCTATACTAGTGCTAGGAGCATGGGGAATAAACAGGAGGAACTCACACTCCTGATTGCAAACAAAGATTTCAGTCTGGTTGGATTAACTGAAACTGGGTGGGACCCTACCCACGATTGGGCAGTAGACATTGAGGGCTACAGGCTGTACAGATGAGATAGAGTGGAGGAAAAGGGAGTGGGCGGCGTTGTTCTCTATGTTAAGGAGCAATACACATCTTCCATAATCAAGATGGGATCAGAAGAGGGGCAAATTGAGGTACTATGGGTCAGAATACAAGGGGGTTGGGGTGAAAGGGACTTGGTAGTCGGGGTCTATTATAGACAGCCACACCAGGAGGATGAGCTAGACCTGGAATTCTCAAGGCAGCTCTCAGAGGCAGTATGCTCAAGGGACATGGTTGTAATGGGTGACCTAAACTACCCTAACATCTGCTAGGAGGAGCAATCAGCTAAATCTAATCAGGACCTTCACCTAACACAGGAGGTGTACAGTCCCACTAGGGGAAGTGTCTTGCTGGACTTGGTGTTTGCTACAGGGGATGACCTAGTGAGAGATCTGTGGATACAGGGTAACCTAGTGGATAGTGACCACCAATTGTTGGAATTCACTATCCAGTGGAAGGTGGGAAAGATAACCAGTAGGGCAGAAGTGCTAGACTTCAGAAAGGCAAACTTCAATGAGCTCAGGAGATTAGTAAGAGAGGCACTGAAGGACAGGAGCATTGGCAAGATGGCAATCCAGGAAGGGTGGTCATTCCTCAAGGGAACAATCCTTCGGGCACAGAAAGGAACAATCCCATGACACATAAAGGGAGGCAGAGGGGCCAAGAAACCCTCTTGGCTGAACAGGGGAATCCAGAAAAGCCTAGGGGCAAAAAAAAGAAGCATACAGACTGTGGAAGAAGAGGGTAGCCACCAAGGAAGAGTATACTTACTTGGCTCACACTTCTAGGGAGTTAGTTAGAAAGGCCAAAGCAGTAATGGAACTCAGGCTGGCATCACAAATTAAAGACGAGAAAAAGTCCTTCTTCAGGTATACAGGGAGCAAAAAGAAGGTGTGCAACAACATAGGACCCCTACAGGACAGACTAGAGCAATTGGTGACAGATAGAAGTGACAAAGCTGAGCTCTTCAATGAGTTTTTTGCATCCATATTCCTGAACACAGATAAAGACATATCTCCCAGTTGGATTGTCACCAAGCACAAGAGGGACACCAACCCACCAACAGTTCACACTGACCTAGTGAAGGGACACTTGGAAGGGCTGAATGTGTTTAAGTCAGCAAGCCCAGACAATCTTCATCCACGGGTGCTGAGGGAATTAGCCAGTGTCATAGCAAAACCACTGGCAAGACTGTTTGAGCACTCATGGCACTCAGGACAGGTCCCAGATGGCTGGAAAAGGGCCAATGTGGTCCCTATTTTCAAGAAAGGGAGAAAGAAAGATCTGGGTAACTATAGTCTGGTTAGTCTCACCTCTATCCTTTGAAAAACCTTTGAAAAAATTATTAAAGAACACATCTGTGGGAGTCCAGCACAAAAAATAATGCTGAAGGGCAACCAGCATGGATTCATAGCAGGTAGATCCTGCCTGACTAACCTTGGTTCTTTTTATGACCAGGTCACAAAATGTTTAGATGCAGGAGTCAAGGTAGATGTCATTTAGTTGGATTTTAAAAAGGCCTTCAATACAGTGTCTCACCCCATTCTTATAAATAAACTAAGTGGCTGTGACACAAATGATTACACAGTCAGGTGGGTGGCAAATGGGCTTATGGGATGCACCCAAAGAGTGGTGGTGGAGGGGTCAGCATCAACCTGGAAAGATGTGGGCAGTGGGATCAGCCAAGGTTTTGCCCTTGGACCAGTGCTGTTCAATATCTTCATCAGTGACTTGGATGAGGGCATGGAGAACACTCTGTGCAAATTTGAAGACAACACCAAATTATGCAGCAAAGTAAACACACAGGTGGGCAGGGAACAGATTCAGGTGGAGTTGGACACTTTGGAAAAGTGGGCAGAACAGAACAGGATGCAGTTTAACAAAGATAAATGCGAAGTGCTGCACCTAGGGAGAAAGAATCACCAACACACATACAGATTTGGAGACGACCTTCTAAGTAGCACAGTGGCAGAAAGGGATCTCAGAGTCATAGTAGACTCCAAGATGAACATGAGTCACCAATGTGACAAAGTGATAAGTAAAGCTAACTGCACTCTATCGTGCATTAGAAGGTGCATCACAAACAGGGCAGGAAGTGATACTTCCCCTCTATGCAGCATTGGTAAAACCACAGCTGGTGTACAGTGTCCAGTTTTGGGCAGCACACTTCAAGAAGGATGGGGATAACATCCTTCTTGAGAGGGCCCAGAGGAGGGCTTCTCATGGTTAAGGGCCTGCAGGTAAGGCCCTACAAGGAGAGACTGAGGGACCTGGATCTCTTCAGCCTCCGCAAGAGAAGGCTGAGAGGTGATCTTGTGGTCATTTTCAAATTTATCGGGAGGTTTGGGCAGCAAGGAATAGGGGATACTCTGTTTACCAGGGTGCTGGGGTAACTAGAAACAACAGCCACAAACTGACAGAGAACAGATGTAGATTGGACATCAGGAAGAACTTCTTCACAGTAAGGATTACCAGAATCTGTAATGGGCTTCCAAGGGAAATGGTGCTGTCCCCTACCCTGGTGGTCTTTACGAGGAGACTGGACAAGCACTTGGCTAGGGTCAGCTGACCCCCGCACCCCGCTCTCTTTCCTGCCCAGGGAAAGCGGTCGGACTCAATGATCTACTGAGGTCCCTTCTGACCCTAAAAATCTATGAAATCTATTAAATCTATACACAGGACACCTTGCTGCACGGTAGAGCCAGCTACTGTGCAGTAAGTGTCTGTGTCTACACATGCAGATGCTTACTGCGCAGTAATTTGCTCTAATCATAAGTAAATTTGCTACCTGCAAATGCAGGCAGCACATTTACTTGAGATTATTAATTGTGCAGTAGCACACATGTACACACTTGTTGAAGAGCACATGTGCTCCCAGTCAGCTGGGCAGCAGAGGGCTGGAGATTTCTCTCTGCCCCCAGGAGCAGCCTGCTGCCAGAGTGGGCTCTGCCACCAGAACCCAGGCAGGGACAATGTCCCCCTGCCCTGGCAATAGGGAGTTCCCTGCATTAGCTCCACAGTCATGGGGCCAGTGCTAGAAGATCCTTCTTTCCCACTGCCAGCCCTGCGACTATGGAGCTGGCACTGGGAGAGCAGGATCTCCCAGCAGGGATACGGCTGGGAGCTCCCTGCTGCCAGGGCAGGGGAACATTGTCCCTGCCCAGGCTCTGGTGGCAGAGTCCACCCTGGCAGCAGGGAACTTTTGAGGGCAGGAGGCAGTGTTCCAGTCCCAGCCAGGAGACAGCTGGGTCCTGGCCCCCTGAGCTAGCACTCAGGGGGAGACTAGAGCTCCTCCTGGCTGCTGCAGGGACCTATTTCAAGGCCACAGGGAGTGGGAGAAGTCTGCTGCCAGAAGTAGCAATCTTCTCCCACATCCCCACATGTGTAGACATGTGCCTGGGAGAGTTTACTCGAGAGTAAACTGCTCCTGGATTATTTTCATGTGTAGACACAGCCATGCAGTTTGAAATACCAAGAAAGTCAAACTAGAGGAAACAAAAAGTCTAAAGTGTCGTTTTATTAATGTTCAGATACTAGTTTGACAGTGACTTGATTTCTTAACCTGATCCACCATATGCTGAAACCATGTGTGTACTTTGCCAGAGCATGGAGACTTTTTCCCTTTTGATGGGCCCCGCGGTATCCTGGGCCATGCATATGGACCTGAGGAAGAAGCAATAGGAGGTGACGTACATTTAGATGAAGATGAATTCTGGACAACCGGATATGTCAAAAAAGGCAAGTGCTTTGTTTATTTGGTCGGCTGTCTCTCTCACTGAATTAATTTCCAATTCCTATAGAATTATAATATAGAGTGAGTTTTGCTACATATAATCTGTTGCTGCTACCACCAGGAGAATACAGATAACGCACAAATACAAATAAGCCTAACAAAAATCAAAGCTTCAGTTAAGGTTCCTAATCTCAATCAGGAGAACTGATTGGTGAAAATATTGAAAGCTAAGTCATTCCAATAATGTATCTGTAGCAGATTATCAGTTCATGTAGCACAGTCTTTATTTCCCTGGGAAATGTGCCTCTCATGACACAATATAAACCAAACAGCAACCAAATAAATACATAATAAAGGGTTAACTCGCACCCTCCGGTCTTTCCCAGACACTAAGAGAGCATCATGGCTTGATGCTGCCACTTCTAGCCTCTCAGTCTCCTCTTGCTGTCTCAGCTCTCTTCCCTGTGAGGTTATAACTTCCTCTGGGACAGCTAATTATCCTCATCAGCTGGCCTCATCCTACTTGGCAGATTTGCAAACACTTTCTTACCACCTGCAGCTAGGTGGCAGCCCCTGAGACCTGCAGCCTGCTACACATCCCTACTCCCTTACCAAGAGTGGAGCACTCTTCCGTTTCTTTATTCCCCACCCGAGTCCACATTTGCATGTGTTGACCCTGTGAAATGGTGTATTGAGAAGTCCAAAGGCTGTACGGAAAGATATCACCTTATCAGCCGTGGGTTAGCCTCCATGAAAAATTAAGCTATGTTAATGTGGCATGGTCAGTAACCAGCTGAAAATGAGCCCCTAAGAGGTAGTAATGAAGGGTACCTACTGCCCATTTAATTGCTAAACACTCTTTCTCTATTATGACATACCTCGGGGAAGAGCTTTCTACTCATATATAAAATTTTCTATATCTCCACAATTTTTGGGGAGAGGACCACTCTCAGACCTCACTCCAAGGCCTCTGTGTATACAATAAATTCTTTTGTCAGGTGTGGACTTTGCAAAACTAGTGTGCTGCACAGTAGCCATTTTATAGGTCCAAATTCTGTCTCACATTTGGGTGAGAGCTGAACCCTTTGTGTTGCCCCTTTCCACAACAGGTCTGTTAGTGGGGCTGTAATGTTGGCAAACTGTGGGATAAATCACCTTTAGTAATGCACTAGGCCTACGAAGGACTTCAGTTGCTTTTCTGTCATTAGCACTGGCAACTCAGCCAAGGCCCTCACCTTATCTACCATGAGCCTGATTTTCCCACTGCCCAGTATATACCCTAGGTATTTATTTTCTCCATATCCTAGGTGATATTTACTCAGTTTGGCTGTGAGCCCAGCTTCACGTATAGACTTCAACACTTCACTTAGTCACTGGAGATGTCCATACACATGCTTGGAGTAGGCATTTTAATTACAGCAGTTCCCAGACAGCCAATCTAATTAAAATAGCTCATCATTCTGTGTTTCAAGCCCCGCATATTTTAAAATGGCTGTAGGATGGTTTATCTAAAGCTCTTTCGACAAAGTTGAGATAAAGTGCCACCGTGGCTATTTTAGAATGCACAACAGCTTAATACAGGTGACAGTGAGGCCATGCTGAAGCATTCTAATTAGAATATGAATGAGCATGTGTATAGGCAGCTTGGAGGTGGTCCACCCTCATGTTTGCAAATACTATATCTTCTAAGTATGTGGCTGTATATGCCTGGTGTGGGCAGAGTCAGAGAGGACCCAGTTAGGGAATTTCTGGAGGGGCTGGATGTGTTCAAATCAGCAGGTCCAGATGCTCTCCACCCCAGGGTGCTAAGGGAATTGGCAGGGGTCAACGCGGGGCCCCTGGCATGGCTTTACGAGCACGTGGTGCTCTGGCCAGGTGCCAGAAGACTGGAAGAAGGCCAATGTGGTCCCCATTTTCAAAAAAGGGAAGAGGAAGGACCCAGCCAACTATAGGTCTGTTAGTCTTACTTCAGTCCTGTCCTGGGGAAGCTCTTCAAGAAAATTATCCAGGAGCACATCTGTAGGGATCAGCAGGGTGGATGATGCTCAGGGGCAACCAGCATGGGTTCATTAGGGGCAGGTCCTATCAGACCAACCCGATTGCCTTCTACAATCAGGTCACAAAATCATTGGATGCAGGTGTTGCATTGGATGTAATCTTTCTGGACTTCAGGAAGGCCTTTGACAATGTCTCCCACCCCATTCTCATTAAAAAGCTAGGCAACTGGAGCATTGATGCCTACACAGTCACATAGGTCACAAGTTGGCTAGAGGGCCACACCCAGAGTGGTGGTGGATGAGTCATATTCGACCTGGAGGGATGTGGGCAGCGGAGTCCACCAGGGCTCAGTCCTCAGGCCCATACTGTTCAATTTCTTTATTAGTGACTTGGACAAGGGGGTGAAAAGCACCCTGTTCAAATTCACTGATGACACCAAGATTTGGGTTGAGGTGAACACACTAGAATAGAAGGACAGGATACAACTGAACCTGGACTGGTTGCAGGGGTGGGCAAATGTGAATTGGATGGGATTCAATACTGACAAGTGCAGGGTATGGCACTTGGGCAGAAAGAACCAGCAGTATACCTATAGGCTGGGGAACTCCCTTCTCAAAAGCCCAGTGGCAGAAAGAGATCTTGGAGTCATTATCAATTCCAAAATGAACATGGGCCGCCAGTGTGGGGATGCGGTCAGGAAGGCTAACTGCACCTTGTCATGCATCCATAGATGCATCACCAGCAGATCTAAGGGGGTGATCCTCCCCCTCTATGCAACACTGGTCAGGCCACAGTTGGAGTACTGCATCCAGTTCTGGGTGCCACACTTCAGGAGGGATGCGGCCAGCATTAAGAGGGTCCAGAGGAGGGCCACTCATGATCAGGGGGCAGCAGGGCAGACCCTATGAGGAGAGAGTATGGGACCTGAACCTGTTCAGCCTTCACAAAAGAAGGCTGAGAGGGGATCTAGTGGCCATCTATAAACTTACCAGGGGGGACCAGAGGGGAATGGGAGACGCCCTGTTCCCCCAAGCACCTCCTGGAGTAACAAGGAATAATGGCCATAAGTTGTTTGAGAGTAGGTTCAGGCTAGACATCAGGAGACACTACTTCACAGTCAGGGTGGCCAGGATCTGGAATCAGCTTCCAAGGGAAGTGGTCCTGGCTCCTACCTTTGGGGCCTTTAAAAGGAGGCTTGATAATTACCTAACTGGGGTCATATGAGCTTAAAACTTACGAGGGGTCATATGAGCCCAGTATTCATTCCTGCCCAGGCAGGATCGGATCGGACTTGATGATCTGGTCAGGTCCCTTCTGACCCTACATCTATGAACCTATAATTATTTTGTCCATTAATCACTGGAAAATTGCCAGGGATCCATGTAGCCCAAAAGACAAGGTCCTAAAGTGATAAAGTCCCCAAGGTGTTGCAAAAGCCATGATTTTGTAGGATACCAGGTTGTAAAAGGGGGGCCTTCTGGGGCTGATTTGCCTTTGGTCTGCCCACCTGTTTCTGGGCCAACCACCCGCCTTCTTCCCTGCCATGCCTTCTTGTTAATAAATGATCTGAATTAGGTGGGAGGGCTGCCCATTTCTTGCCCTGATGCCAGCCGGTGCTATCTGTGGCTCCGTTCCTCCCCTACACCAGAGCCCAAGCCTCACAGATGGTTTTATAAATTCTTCTTTATATTGGGGTCTCAGCTGCTGTGGGCTTTCCCCTTCTCTCTCTAGCTAGGCCTGTCAGTCAAAAGACCCACTAATCAGGGCTTGACTCCGAAGCTCTAGGTCTCAAAACTCACTTGGGCTCAAGGCCCTAGTGCAGCAACCGTAGTGCTGCAGGGCTTCTTGAACCCCTTATCACAGAGCCCCTTGGCGCTAATGAGGACTCTTCCACCCTGCAGCCTCAGCCACAAATCACCAGCTATTAACATCCAACGCAAACCATAGGCCTCTATGGCCATATAATGGAAAAGTAATAATAAACAAATAAGAGAGGAAACATGCCTGCTTACTTAGATAATCATGCTGCTGGCTCACAGCATGGTGTATTCTTCCGAAAGAAGCTGCTGCCATGGCACCGTGGTCATTGGGAATCCCCCCCCACTGTCTCTCTGGCCTTCTCCACTCACTGTTTATAGGGTTCTGGCCTTCCCCTTCCTGTCACCTGACCAGCTGGCAGGGCTTGAGCCTTAACCCCTACTTGACCGGCCAGCTGTGACTGGAAGGTTCTGGATTTAAAGGGACCACCCTGTTTCTTGGTAACAGGGCTAGGGTTCCCTGTTACATAGGTCTAACAGTATCTGCCAGTACCCTTTGGTTAGGTCCAGGGTGGATATATCTGGTGTTGCCTATGCCCTCCACCATTTTGTTTACCCTTGGCATAGAATATGCATCATGTTTTGAAATGACATTGACCTCATGGAAGTTGACATAGAACCTTACAGTACGGTCGGGTTTCAGCACTACCACAATGGAGCTGTTTGAGTCCTCTATGACCCCAGAATCCACTATTTTCTTAATCTCTTCTTTTACTGTTTTCCTTATCCAGGGTAGTATTCTCAAGCATCCCTTCTGGACTGTACATCCCAGCTTAAGGATGATCCAGTGTTTGATCAAATTAGTCCTCCCTGGGATCCCTGTGAACAACTTTTTAAAATCCTCCAGTGGGCCTCTTATTTTAGCCTGCTGAGTTGGGGTCAAAGTTTGCCCTAGCTGGAGGCCAGCTACCAGATCCAGAGGACTGGGGAGGGAGGTTGTGGGGGCAAAAAGAGGGAGAGGGCCCTGACCCCACAGAGCAGCTATTAGAAAACATGTGGAGGCCATGTACACCTCCCACACCTTCCAAGATTTTTATAAGTTTACATAATAAATTTGCAAACCCTGCCATTTCCCCACTATGTGAACCTTATAGTCCACTTGGCCTAACCTCTGCAGGACCTCAAATGGACCTTGCCATTTTGCTAGCAACTTACTCCCCGAGGAAGGGAAAAATAATAAGGACTCGTCC